CTAAAATAGCCTGCCCTTCGGTGGGTCCCCGCTCAGAACTCATGCTGGTTTTAGCTCAACTTGTGCCATTACAGAGAGAACATATCTGAAGCATATCAGACTGGTCCCACCCATACGGGCAGTCCAGACCCGAAATGCCAGCAAGTTCTCTCTGCACGAGAGATACAGCAACCCCAGACGATCGTTTCAGCCTTGTTAGGCATCGTCAGTGAGGCATAGCTGATATCTCTCTAGGCACCGTGAGCAAGGGGTCCACGTCTGGATTACCCTTTAGACTAATGGAGAGCAAACAATGGGTCGCAAGAGTATTCTGAGAACGGACAGCAGCTAAAATAGCCTGCCCTTCGGTGGGTCCCGCTCAGAACTCATGCTGGTTTTAGCTCAACTTGTGCCATTACAGAGAGAACATATCTGAAGCATATCAGACTGGTCCCACCCATACGGGCAGTCCAGACCCGAAATGCTAGCAAGTTCTCTCTGCACGAGAGATACAGCAACCCCAGACGATCGTTTCAGCCTTGTTAGGCATCATCAGTGAGGCGGATCTGGACTGCCCGTATGGGTGGGAGCAGTCTGATATGCTTCAGATATGTTCTCTCTGTAATGGCACAAGATGAGCAAAAAACGGCTTGAGAACTGAGCGGGGACCAACCGAAGGGCAGGCTATTTCAGCTGCTGCCCGTTCTCAGTATTCTCTAGCGACCCATTTTTGACTCTCCACTAGTTTAAAGGGATAATCCAGACGTGGACCCCTGCTCGGTGCCTAGGGAGATATCAGCTATGCCTGATGATTGTCTTTGCTGCCGCCCTCATCAGCTTAGCGACCATTTCAGCTGCTGCCCGTTCTCAGTATTCTCTTGCAACCCATTTTTGACTCTCCACAAGTTTAAAGGGATAATCCAGACGTGGACCCCTTGCTCACGGTGCCTAAGGAGATATCAGCTATGCCTCACTGATGATGCCTAACAAGGCTGAAACGATCGTCTGGGGTTGCTGTATCTCTCGTACAGAGAGAACTTGCTGGCATTTCGGATCTGGACTGCCCGTATGGGTGGGAGCAGTCTGATATGCTTCAGATATGTTCTCTCTGTAATGGCACAAGATGAGCAAAAAACAGCTTGAGAACTGAGCGGGGACCAACCGAAGGGCAGACTATTTCAGCTGCTGCCCGTTCTCAGTATTCTCTTGCGACCCATTTTTGACTCTCCACTAGTTTAAAGGGATAATCCAGACGTGGACCCCTTGCTCACGGTGCCTAAGGAGATATCAGCTATGCCTCACTGATGATGCCTAACAAGGCTGAAACGATCGTCTGGGGTTGCTGTATCTCTCGTGCAGAGAGAACTTGCTGGCATTTCGGATCTGGACTGCCCGTATGGGTGGGACCAGTCTGATATGCTTCAGATATGTTCTCTCTGTAATGGCACAAGATGAGCAAAAATCAGCTTGAGAACTGAGCGGGGACCGACCGAAGGGCAGGCTATTTCAGCTGCTGCCCGTTCTCAGTATTCTCTTGCGACCCATTTTTGACTCTCCACAATTTTAAAGGGATAATCCAGACGTGGACCCCTTGCTCACGGTGCCTAGGGAGATATCAGCTATGCCTCACTGATGCCTAACAAGGCTGAAACGATCGTCTGGGGTTGCTGTATCTCTCGTACAGAGAGAACTTGCTGGCATTTCGGATCTGGACTGCCCGTATGGGTGGGAGCAGTCTGATATGCTTCAGATATGTTCTCTCTGTAATGGCACAAGATGAGCAAAAAACAGCTTGAGAACTGAGCGGGGACCAACCGAAGGGCAGGCTATTTCAGCTGCTGCCCGTTCTCAGTATTCTCTTGCGACCCATTTTTGACTCTCCAATAATAATAAGTTGTTCATCTGAGGTTGTATTTACCTAATTTTAAGACCTGCTAAAGAACAGATGATTATGTCTTGAGATGTAAAACCATAGAATTCAAAGAGGGTGTACTTTCTTATTCTCATGACTGTATATATGTGTGTATGTGTATATATATATATATATATAAAAATGTACAAAGTCCGGCACTCTACCTTTGAAAATAATGATCCCAGAAAAAGCCTCGGTGCTGCAGAGCGTAGATAAATAAACAAATAATAGCAGAAAGAGCACTCCAGGGGACTTGTTGAAATTTTTTATCAAAGTGCAGAAAAAATCGACGTTTCGACCCGCAGGTCTTTATCAAGATACATAACATAGTGAAGTGATAACATTTATAACAATAAATAATTAGGGGGTAATCACTTACCCTGAGATAGGTGTGCAGCTACAGAGCCATGTGTACAAGCTGTGAGTAGATGGAAGAAAGCGTGTGAGTTCCGTAGCGGAGTGATGACGTCAACCACATGCGACCAGGAAGAGGAAAACCGAGAGCGTCCGGTTTCCATAGAAACAGGTATGTGATCGTGTATGGTGTGGAACAGTAAAATAAACAAGATAGGGAAGATCTATGCAGGTAAGAGAATAGAGAAAATGATAGCCATGGGGTGACTTAAAACAGAAGTATATAAAATAAAAGTATATAAGGTCCAAAGTACGGACCAGCAGTGAATACATACGTTGGAGTGATCACAAGCATTGTGTATCAATATAAAATATAAGTAATAAGTACACCTTGGAACTACTAATAAACGCAGAAAATCTCTTATGCAGAGAAATGACAAGAGTAGACAATACCAATAAAACCGAAAAGATAATAAGAAACCAAAATCAAAAATTACACAGATGAACAGCAGAACAAGTTAACGTATATCCAGAAATGGATGGAAAGACAAATATTCATTCAGGCCCTTGGGATGTAAAGTGTCCAGTGTTTTAATCCAATAAACCTCCCGCTGAAGTAGAATCTTAGATCGGTCCCCCCCTCGGCTAAGAGGGGGAATGTGATCAATAGCAATAAATTTAAGGGTGGGAAGTCGATGGTTCGCCTCTAAGAAATGTTTGGCCACCGGTTTGTCGGTTCTGCCATCCCTAAAGGCGGTCATAATCCCCGATCGGTGGCCACGCATTCTGTCCCGCAATGTGAGATCAGTCTTTCCCACATAGTAAAGTCCGCAAGGGCAAGATATTAAATAGATCACATAAGTGGTAAGGCACGTGATATGGTGTTTAATCAGGTAACGTTTCCCTGAATGTGGATGAGCAAACGAGGGTCCAGTGAGCATATGTCCACACGTGACACAATTGGGGCACTTAAAGCAACCCAATTTTGTGTGAGCTTTTTCTGTTGTATATTGGAAAGGGCAATCGTTTTTGACCAGCATATCCCTTAAATTACGATTCCGTCTAAACGAAATCCGAGGAGAATGAGAGAAAATGGGTAATAATGTAGGGTCAGAAGCCAATAAGTCCCATCTTTTACGGATAACCTTGGCGATTTGATCACTTGCTGTGTGATACAGCAATGGTACTGTGATTCTCGTGGGTTGCTGAGACAGCACAGTTGTTGTAGTACAAGATTTATTGTAGATATCATAGGCTCTGTCCAGCGATCGCTTAAGAGTATAATTCGAGTATCCTCGATCACGAAAGGCTCGTTGCATCACCAAAATCTGTGCCTTGGTATTATCAGGGTCTGAGTTATTTCTCAGTACACGAAGAAATTGTGAGATAGGAAGTGATCTCTTAAGAGCACCTGGGTGGAAACTGGTGGCATGTAATAAAGTATTGCGATCAGAAGTCTTTCTGTATAAAGTATATCCAATTGAGTTGTGCATCCGATATATTAAAACATCAAGGAATTCAATCTTGTTAGCATCACAGCAATGACTAAAACGGACAGGTGAATTAATCTGATTAAGATCGTCCATCATGGTGTCGAAAGATGAGACAGGACCTGACCATATCATGAGGATATCATCCACATATCTACAGTATAATATGAGATTGGCCTGGTATTTTGATAGAATATGTTGTTGTTCATACGAAAACATATAGCTGTTCGCATAATTAGGAGCTATCGCCGATCCCATCGCCGTGCCTGTTTGTTGGAGATAAAAGAATTTCTCAAACCGGAAGTAATTGTTAGTCAAAGTGAATTCCAAACATTCAAGAAGAAATTCAATAGGAGGCCCCTTATATTGATCAGAATGGATTAGGACTTGTCTCATAGCCTCTAGCCCATCTTTGTGCGGTATGATGGTATACAGATTTTTCACATCTACAGTTGCTAGAGTTATGGGTCCATCTGGAAGAAAGACCTGTCTTAAATGAGTAAGAAGGTCCTGTGTATCTTTAAGGCATGTTGGTATAAGTAGAGTAGGTGTCTTACAATGATGATCAACAAATTTAGCCAATGGTTCTAAGATGCCGCGCTTGGCGGAGACAATAGGTCGGCCAGGAGGATTGAGAGGATCTTTATGTACCTTAGGCAAAGTGTACAGTAAAGGAATTTTAGGATGCAGATCAATCAAGTACTTGGCAATATGCTCATCCAACCAACCAGCACTAACCCCTCTATGAACCAATGACTGTAATTTCTCCATGATGTTATTAGTAGGATCAAAGGCAATTTTTTTATAAGTCGTATGGTCGGACAATTGTCTAAGAATCTCCATACGGTAGGGTTCATAGTCTTGTAGTACTATGGCCCCACCTTTGTCCGCTGGTCTGATGATGATATTGGGATCGTCTGCAAGTTCCTTAAGGGCTTTATATTCCTTAGATGTTAGATTAGGTGAAAAAGACTTAGAGTCCGACAAAATTTGTCGTACATCATTTTTAACCAGATGAGAAAAAGATTTAATAGATGGATGTGTGGTTTTCGGTTCCCATAAACTTTTCAGACGAAAATGATGTCTTGTCTGCTGTTGTGCATCTGGTGCGAATGTTTGTAGATTAAGGGTTCTTTCCATTTTATATAAATCAATGTCTGTCTTGAATACATCGGGTTTGGGGGTGGGAACAAATGTAAGACCTTTTGAAAGTACTTTGATATGATCAGAGTTCAATGTTTTTGAAGATAGATTGAAAATAGGAGTCAGGTTCTCCTGTTCGATGGCTTGGGACGAGTACCTGTATTTTTTGCCCCTCTGCCCACGTCTGGTGATTGTAGGTCTCTTAGATCTCTTCTTCTCCTTGTGTTGAACCCCGGAGGGTCGTTGGTATGTTGGTCTTGGGGAAAAAAAGGGGGTCTTGTAGAATGACCAGGTAGTAATTCTTGTGCATTTTGAGATGCTCCCATCCCTTCAGTTTCCGAGGTAGAGTCAGCAGAGCTCGTGTCAATTGAAAGGAACTGAGGTTTGCGAACCTTCTGTTTATATCTAGAAAAATTAGGTTTGCGTCGCTCCCCACATAACCAGTGGTAAACCTGGTGATGAGTATAATCAAAATTGACACGTTCTAGTTTTTGTTTTTTAAATCTGATCAAATCATTTCTATATCTGGTGATTTCGTCCTGTAGTTTAACCATATATTGGGTAGAAGTGGCAGCTGTGAGGATAGAAGTATGTAATACTTCAAACTTATTGATGGATTCCTTGGTGAAAATTAATTCATTGCGCACTTCCTCGACTACTATCAGCATCCAGTCCAATGAACATTTGTTTGCAATCCCAGTCCATTTTTTACAAAATTCTGGATTTTGACGTCCAATCGTGGGTGAATTACGGACTCTGAAACCTCTGGGAATCCGTTTAGCCCGATAGTAATCAGAAATAAAAATGCCGTGCAAATCTAAGTCTGTCTCTCGTCTCTTCAGTTTAGTTAAATCATTGTATAAATCTCTAATAGAGTCTGTATGTGCCAATTCAGTAGTAGTGTTAGGCCACAGGATTTTATCTGCATCTTGTTCATTTAATTGCAGAGTTTCTGCAGTTTCAGAAAGGGCTCCAGCCCTTAATAAAAAATCTTCCATCCTATTTAAAAAAGGGGGTTGAGTCTGGAGAGATACCTATCCAGAGTATGGGTGACCAAACAAATATGGTATTGTAAGAACCATGAAATGGTTCAAGTGGAGGTGCACAGAGAGTGTATCGCCATACACTATAGAGTATATAAAAATGTACAAAGTCCGGCACTCTACCTTTGAAAATAATGATCCCAGAAAAAGCCTCGGTGCTGCAGAGCGTAGATAAATAAACAAATAATAGCAGAAAGAGCACTCCAGGGGACTTGTTGAAATTTTTTATCAAAGTGCAGAAAAAATCGACGTTTCGACCCGCAGGTCTTTATCAAGATACATAACATAGTGAAGTGATAACATTTATAACAATAAATAATTAGGGGGTAATCACTTACCCTGAGATAGGTGTGCAGCTACAGAGCCATGTGTACAAGCTGTGAGTAGATGGAAGAAAGCGTGTGAGTTCCGTAGCGGAGTGATGACGTCAACCACATGCGACCAGGAAGAGGAAAACCGAGAGCGTCCGGTTTCCATAGAAACAGGTATGTGATCGTGTATGGTGTGGAACAGTAAAATAAACAAGATAGGGAAGATCTATGCAGGTAAGAGAATAGAGAAAATGATAGCCATGGGGTGACTTAAAACAGAAGTATATAAAATAAAAGTATATAAGGTCCAAAGTACGGACCAGCAGTGAATACATACGTTGGAGTGATCACAAGCATTGTGTATCAATATAAAATATAAGTAATAAGTACACCTTGGAACTACTAATAAACGCAGAAAATCTCTTATGCAGAGAAATGACAAGAGTAGACAATACCAATAAAACCGAAAAGATAATAAGAAACTCAGACCCTGATAATACCAAGGCACAGATTTTGGTGATGCAACGAGCCTTTCGTGATCGAGGATACTCGAATTATACTCTTAAGCGATCGCTGGACAGAGCCTATGATATCTACAATAAATCTTGTACTACAACAACTGTGCTGTCTCAGCAACCCACGAGAATCACAGTACCATTGCTGTATCACACAGCAAGTGATCAAATCGCCAAGGTTATCCGTAAAAGATGGGACTTATTGGCTTCTGACCCTACATTATTACCCATTTTCTCTCATTCTCCTCGGATTTCGTTTAGACGGAATCGTAATTTAAGGGATATGCTGGTCAAAAACGATTGCCCTTTCCAATATACAACAGAAAAAGCTCACACAAAATTGGGTTGCTTTAAGTGCCCCAATTGTGTCACGTGTGGACATATGCTCACTGGACCCTCGTTTGCTCATCCACATTCAGGGAAACGTTACCTGATTAAACACCATATCACGTGCCTTACCACTTATGTGATCTATTTAATATCTTGCCCTTGCGGACTTTACTATGTGGGAAAGACTGATCTCACATTGCGGGACAGAATGCGTGGCCACCGATCGGGGATTATGACCGCCTTTAGGGATGGCAGAACCGACAAACCGGTGGCCAAACATCTCTTAGAGGCGAACCATCGACTTCCCACCCTTAAATTTATTGCTATTGATCACATTCCCCCTCTTAGCCGAGGGGGGGACCGATCTAAGATTCTACTTCAGCGGGAGGTTTATTGGATTAAAACACTGGACACTTTACATCCCAAGGGCCTGAATGAATATTTGTCTTTCCATCCATTTCTGGATATACGTTAACTTGTTCTGCTGTTCATCTGTGTAATTTTTGATTTTGGTTTCTTATTATCTTTTCGGTTTTATTGGTATTGTCTACTCTTGTCATTTCTCTGCATAAGAGATTTTCTGCGTTTATTAGTAGTTCCAAGGTGTACTTATTACTTATATTTTATATTGATACACAATGCTTGTGATCACTCCAACGTATGTATTCACTGCTGGTCCGTACTTTGGACCTTATATACTTTTATTTTATATACTTCTGTTTTAAGTCACCCCATGGCTATCATTTTCTCTATTCTCTTACCTGCATAGATCTTCCCTATCTTGTTTATTTTACTGTTCCACACCATACACGATCACATACCTGTTTCTATGGAAACCGGACGCTCTCGGTTTTCCTCTTCCTGGTCGCATGTGGTTGACGTCATCACTCCGCTACGGAACTCACACGCTTTCTTCCATCTACTCACAGCTTGTACACATGGCTCTGTAGCTGCACACCTATCTCAGGGTAAGTGATTACCCCCTAATTATTTATTGTTATAAATGTTATCACTTCACTATGTTATGTATCTTGATAAAGACCTGCGGGTCGAAACGTCGATTTTTTCTGCACTTTGATAAAAAATTTCAACAAGTCCCCTGGAGTGCTCTTTCTGCTATTATTTGTTTATTTATCTACGCTCTGCAGCACCGAGGCTTTTTCTGGGATCATTATTTTCAAAGGTAGAGTGCCGGACTTTGTACATTTTTATATACTCTATAGTGTATGGCGATACACTCTCTGTGCACCTCCACTTGAACCATTTCATGGTTCTTACAATACCATATTTGTTTGGTCACCCATACTCTGGATAGGTATCTCTCCAGACTCAACCCCCTTTTTTAAATAGGATGGAAGATTTTTTATTAAGGGCTGGAGCCCTTTCTGAAACTGCAGAAACTCTGCAATTAAATGAACAAGATGCAGATAAAATCCTGTGGCCTAACACTACTACTGAATTGGCACATACAGACTCTATTAGAGATTTATACAATGATTTAACTAAACTGAAGAGACGAGAGACAGACTTAGATTTGCACGGCATTTTTATTTCTGATTACTATCGGGCTAAACGGATTCCCAGAGGTTTCAGAGTCCGTAATTCACCCACGATTGGACGTCAAAATCCAGAATTTTGTAAAAAATGGACTGGGATTGCAAACAAATGTTCATTGGACTGGATGCTGATAGTAGTCGAGGAAGTGCGCAATGAATTAATTTTCACCAAGGAATCCATCAATAAGTTTGAAGTATTACATACTTCTATCCTCACAGCTGCCACTTCTACCCAATATATGGTTAAACTACAGGACGAAATCACCAGATATAGAAATGATTTGATCAGATTTAAAAAACAAAAACTAGAACGTGTCAATTTTGATTATACTCATCACCAGGTTTACCACTGGTTATGTGGGGAGCGACGCAAACCTAATTTTTCTAGATATAAACAGAAGGTTCGCAAACCTCAGTTCCTTTCAATTGACACGAGCTCTGCTGACTCTACCTCGGAAACTGAAGGGATGGGAGCATCTCAAAATGCACAAGAATTACTACCTGGTCATTCTACAAGACCCCCTTTTTTTCCCCAAGACCAACATACCAACGACCCTCCGGGGTTCAACACAAGGAGAAGAAGAGATCTAAGAGACCTACAATCACCAGACGTGGGCAGAGGGGCAAAAAATACAGGTACTCGTCCCAAGCCATCGAACAGGAGAACCTGACTCCTATTTTCAATCTATCTTCAAAAACATTGAACTCTGATCATATCAAAGTACTTTCAAAAGGTCTTACATTTGTTCCCACCCCCAAACCCGATGTATTCAAGACAGACATTGATTTATATAAAATGGAAAGAACCCTTAATCTACAAACATTCGCACCAGATGCACAACAGCAGACAAGACATCATTTTCGTCTGAAAAGTTTATGGGAACCGAAAACCACACATCCATCTATTAAATCTTTTTCTCATCTGGTTAAAAATGATGTACGACAAATTTTGTCGGACTCTAAGTCTTTTTCACCTAATCTAACATCTAAGGAATATAAAGCCCTTAAGGAACTTGCAGACGATCCCAATATCATCATCAGACCAGCGGACAAAGGTGGGGCCATAGTACTACAAGACTATGAACCCTACCGTATGGAGATTCTTAGACAATTGTCCGACCATACGACTTATAAAAAAATTGCCTTTGATCCTACTAATAACATCATGGAGAAATTACAGTCATTGGTTCATAGAGGGGTTAGTGCTGGTTGGTTGGATGAGCATATTGCCAAGTACTTGATTGATCTGCATCCTAAAATTCCTTTACTGTACACTTTGCCTAAGGTACATAAAGATCCTCTCAATCCTCCTGGCCGACCTATTGTCTCCGCCAAGCGCGGCATCTTAGAACCATTGGCTAAATTTGTTGATCATCATTGTAAGACACCTACTCTACTCATACCAACATGCCTTAAAGATACACAGGACCTTCTTACTCATTTAAGACAGGTCTTTCTTCCAGATGGACCCATAACTCTAGCAACTGTAGATGTGAAAAATCTGTATACCATCATACCGCACAAAGATGGGCTAGAGGCTATGAGACAAGTCCTAATCCATTCTGATCAATATAAGGGGCCTCCCATTGAATTTCTTCTCGAATGTTTGGAATTCACTTTGACTAACAATTACTTCCGGTTTGAGAAATTCTTTTATCTCCAACAAACAGGCACGGCGATGGGATCGGCGATAGCTCCTAATTATGCGAACAGCTATATGTTTTCGTATGAACAACAACATATTCTATCAAAATACCAGGCCAATCTCATATTATACTGTAGATATGTGGATGATATCTTCATGATATGGTCAGGTCCTGTCTCATCTTTCGACACCATGATGGACGATCTTAATCAGATTAATTCACCTGTCCGTTTTAGTCATTGCTGTGATGCTAACAAGATTGAATTCCTTGATGTTTTAATATATCGGATGCACAACTCAATTGGATATACTTTATACAGAAAGACTTCTGATCGCAATACTTTATTACATGCCACCAGTTTCCACCCAGGTGCTCTTAAGAGATCACTTCCTATCTCACAATTTCTTCGTGTACTGAGAAATAACTCAGACCCTGATAATACCAAGGCACAGATTTTGGTGATGCAACGAGCCTTTCGTGATCGAGGATACTCGAATTATACTCTTAAGCGATCGCTGGACAGAGCCTATGATATCTACAATAAATCTTGTACTACAACAACTGTGCTGTCTCAGCAACCTACGAGAATCACAGTAC